CCCCCCCCCCCCCCCCCCCCGCGGCTCACGTGAATTGTGAACCAGCATTTTCCCTGAAATGTGTTGGCTGTCCTTTTTTATTCTTATCCTTCAAAATCTCAGTCTAATGGATAGAATATGAATAATGAAATTGGATAAGAGGAAATTACATAAAATCATCTTTTTAAAAATTCAATTTCAAAAATCATATTAAAGATTCAACTTTTCAAAAATCAGATATTTTATTTTAAATATTAAATATTAATTGTACAATTTTCATCCGAAATAATAATCAATTTCATTTTAAATTTTCTCCTACTTCTCTCTTCTCTCTCTCTTCTCACTCTCTCTACCTTCTCTCATCTCCGTCACTCTCTCTTCTCCACTCTCTGATCTCTCTCTTCGACGACAGTTAGCCTCCATGCAGCAGGAGAATTGACTTCTCGAAGGCAGCTGAGGACCTGACAAACCCATTGGGTGTGGGAAGAGGATAGAGCGATGGATCGGCATTCGGGGCTGTAGAAGAGTGAAGCAGAAGAGGACCAGGGACAAGAAACCACCACCGCATGCAAAAATATTGTTCTGAAACAGTGGGAGCAGTATTTGTTGTCTTCATTTAGAAGAGGAGCAGCAGAATAGAATAGGATAGGGGAATCCTTGAGGACAATATGTCCAGCTCTTAGCTGCTGAGAAGTAACTAGTGCTCTGCCCTTCCCTTCTATCTCCACCATCTTCACCGACGGTAGCTGGTGTGGAGTTAAGTTAATTAAGCAATTAATTAGAAAGATAATTTTACGAAGCTGCAGTGGCTGTTGGTGATCGTATAGCTTTTGGATTAGATTTTGTTTTCTTTTTCTTCTCCATTGTAAATACTCCGTGCTTTCTTGGTGAGATTCACTTTGGCCAGATTTTGAATTGGACAGTGATTTTATTGATTTTTGGGTAGTGATTTTGTTGATTTTTGGGAGGCGATCTGGTGTTTGGGCGACTGTTGGATCTTGTTGGTGACGGTGGTTTTGTTGGTGGTTGTGTTGGTGGATTTGAAGTTGAAGATTTGTTGGAGGTGGTCGGCGGCGATAATGGTAGGGTTGGGGTTTTTTTGGGTTGTAGGATGGGGGGGTGGTGGTGGTGGTTCCGACGATGAGTTTCAGTTGTCATGCTGTTGGTGGCAGTGGTAAGGTGATAGTCACAAATGTTGGTGGTGGTTACATATTATTTTGGTTTGTGACCATTAAATTGATTAATTTGACCAAGTAAAAAGATAAATTAAAAAATAATGTGCGACCTAAAAATTATTAATTTGTGACTGATAATTTGTGACTTATAATATTTATGACTTGTGATCTATAAATAAATTGTGACGTTTCAATTTTTGATTTGTGACCGATGAACAAATTGTGACTTATAAGATTTTTGAATTGTAACATTAAAATAATTTGTGATATATAAAATTTGTGATTTGTGACCAATGAATAATATGTGACTTATTAATTTTATAAATTTGTGACCGATGAAAAAATTGTGACCTATAAAATTGTCGATTTGTCATTATGAAATAATTTGTGACTTATAAAATTTTTTNAATTGTGACTTATAAATTTTTTGAATTGTGACATTAAAATAATTTGTGATATATAAAATTTGTGATTTAAGACCAATGAATAATATGTGACTTACTAATTTTATAAATTTGTGACCGATGAAAAAATTGTGACCTATAAAATTGTCGATTTGTCATTATGAAATAATTTGTGACCTATAAAATTTTTTATTGTGACCGAGAATTAATTTGTGACCAAATTATATGGAATTGTGACCTTAATATATTTAGTGCTTGCTTGATAGGGATTTTTGGGGGAAAAATTGATTTTTGAATAGTGATATGATGGGAAATGTGTGGTTGAAAAAGTAGAAAAAATTATTGATGTGATGGAAAATATTATTTTATTGAAGAATGTGTGGTTGAAAATGAGAATTGATTTACTGTAGCAAAATAAGAATCCCTACCAAACAAGCCATTATTGTTTTAGTTATTATTGTAACAATTCAA